ATAAGACTCACCTTGTTGTTATGTGCCGTGGAGTTGGTTCCTACTCATAGCGACTCTGTACAGGGTTTCCAAGGCTCTAAATCTTTATGGGAGCAGAAAGCCTTATCTTTCTCCCATGGAACCGCTGGTAGTTTCGAACTGCTGACCATGAAATTAGAAAATCTATATAGGGTTGCTATGCGTCAGAACCTTACTCAATTGCACAAAGTTTGTTCTAGTTCTAAAATTATGGCTCTTTTGTTATTTTATCAAAACAAGCTCATGGACTACTGGTGAATGAGGGAACTGCCCAGTGAACTATCTCTAAATACCCAGCTCAAAATAGTTCTAGACTTGCTAGTGGTTTTGGGGGTTAGAATTATTACCATATCATGCACTGGACTCCAAAGTCAGTCACTTTGAACTTCAAGGTCAGTGATTCAAGCTCACCAGCTGCTCCTTGGAAACCCTATACAGGGTCACTATGGGTTGGAACCGACTTGACGACACTTAACAACAATATGGCTCTATCTGACAAATCACATGTCTTTTTAATAGTACAAATTAGAACATTAAACCAGCTGCTTTAGTCAATATAATTTGAATGTAAGAAAAAAAAAAAAAAAATGATATGCAGTTCCATCACAGAGATTCTTAAATCTAGAGGCCAGTTATTACCTTTTCTAAACAGATTAATTCAAGTTGTTCTATTATTACCATGTAAACCTGGCCAGAGGAAACACACATGCTTAGTTTTCAAATTAAATTGTTAACTTCACTTTTAAAATAAGAAAAATAATCATAGCAATGAAGTCATCTGTTACTTATTCTTGACAGATAATGCCAATATGCAGAAAAACTTCCCAATTTCTAAATTACATTAATTATGAAGGAAAAGTTCCTGGTAAGGCAAACAGAATGATAAAGATTAGGGTGCCACATAAAGGCACTGGGATGGTTGCTAAGCAATGCAGCAAAGTCCTGTCTCTGATTAAAGAGTTCTGGCTTTACCCTAGCTATCATGAACAGTTATCTTCTCAAGCCAGGCCTTTGTTTCTACCTCCTCAAAATGAGCTCTGGTAGCGTATTGGTTACGAATCGGGCTACGAACCTTAAGGTCAGA